CAGTCCAGTATCTGGATTTTTGCTAATCTAGTATTTTGGGATTTTGCTAATCCAGTATTTTGGAATTTTATTAATAATAAATAGTAATATAATTATTAAAAATAAAAATATATCTTATTAATTAATTAATAATTTTGTTTTTATTTTTCAAAAATATTAATATTCATGATTAAATAATTTATTTTTTCTGTATTTCTTGATATATCTAATATATATAAATTAAATAAAAAATATATTAATATATATAAGTATACATCAAGTTGCAGAAATTTGTAACTTGAAATAGTTATAAATAAAATTTTAACAAATGATTGATCATTTTGTGAGCAAATTATAATATATTATTATAATTTTCAATAAAAATTTCATAATTCCATAATTTTTATAATATTATAAATTATAGTACATCATAATTTTATTTAATAATATTTATATTAATTTTATCTTTTATTTTCACACTATGTTCTATTATACAATTAAATTTAATATAAAATTCATGAATATTTTTTTAAATTAATCATCAATAAATTATATTCTTGTATACTTTACTTTTTATTTTTATTTTTTTCTCTCTTTATTTTTTTTATTATTTACTTTCAAATTAATCTTTTTATTATTGATATATCTTATATTTTATCTCTAATAACATTCTTAATTCGAAATTTCATTATATTTTATTTCCAATAAGAATATTCTTAATTCAAATTTTATTATATTTATTCAATCATATTTATATTTAATTTTTATCTTTATTTTCATTACTATTTTTATTTTTAATATTATTTTTTTTATAATTTATCTTGTATTATTCAATTTTTCTTTGAATCTTTCTTTTTATTATAATTTTATGCTTTTTTTATCTTTAATCACTAATATTCATATTAATTTTCTCTCGTATTTTCTTTTCTATTATCATATATAATATTTTTTGATCTTTGTTCTTCTTTTAATATGTGATATGATTATTAATTATGTAAACTGTGAAAACTATTGAAATATATAAAAAAAGAGTCTCTTATCACTAGAAACTCTCATACTCAAATCTTATAAAAATAATAAAGTTCTTACTTGTAATAAATACTTGTGAATATACTATTATTTTTGTAATCATTTTCAAATTTTGATTACAAGTAATGGATGTTCCTCCACTCTAAATAAGCTGTTCTTTATTATTTTTAGTTTTATTATTTTTAGGCCATGTCAATAAGTTCTGATTATTTACTTTTATACTGATTTAGTAATTTTATTTTGTTTTCTTTATTGGTAGTCTCAATAAGTCCAATTGTCATTTTATTTCATTAGGCAGTCTCAATAAGTTGTTATTTATTCTATTTTTATTTTAGTTTATCTTATTCTTTTATTTAACCATCCCTCTTACTCCTATTTTTACCATTAATATTAAGTTAGTTTGCATACAAGCTACCACAGGAGACCTTTAGAACCTTTAGTGAACCCCATTAATTATAAGTCATCAGTCATTCTTTCACTGTTATGTTACTCTGTTAATTAACAATTCTTGAATTAACGAGAACAATATGTATGTATATCTTGCATACATCTATAAAAATCTATTATTGAAAATGTCAGGATCCTATTCCAAAAAATAGATCAACTGCTGAGGAACTTTTCGCCTTTATCAACTCTATCAAATATATCGATGAGGCGTGGAAAATAAATATTTTGCATTCTCATTACTACAGCTCTTTATTTAGAGTATCTATCCTAAATCATACGAAGAAATTAAAAATTGTCAGAAATTGGAAAAACAAAACTAAAGAACTTGACGAGGAGATGAAATTACGCAGCATCCTTAAAAATATGAACCCAAAACAAAAATTCCACCCAATGCAATTTATACCAGTCGACTCTTTCGTCAAAAATTACATAGGTACATTTCATCTCTAATATAAAACACATTGACATTTCATATTAATTAAAATTAATATTTAGGCTCTACAAGTGTTACGTAGTTTGTATGTTCCAAATGAAAAAATGTAAAATCATTATTTAATATTGTTTTTGATTAATTTTTTGATTATTTATTCGGTGATGCAAAACTGATTTTAGTATACCATACGAAATCAACGAGATAAATGAAACTAAAAGGATCCAGATACACATCCATAGAATATATTACCGGAAATTACAAAAACGAATTTGTCACTTTGGAACCCGATATCTCGATATCCGGTGACCCAGTCGAACCAATGACAAATTCATTTTTGAAATTTCTGGTAATATATTGTAAGGATGTGTAAGCCGGGGGTTTTCTAGAATCTCATGATGAGTCACTACTATAAATAAGATAACATTATTTGTCACAAAAAATAACTACTTTTACTTTATACCTGATTAAAATCATAATAATTTTGTTTAGATAATGATACTGAAGGTAATTTAACAATTAGATTTTTATTTATTTTATCATATTCTTCAAAAATTTACTTTCTTTACGTGTTTTGAGTATAGGATAATATGTGAAAATTTCGTTTTCTTGATCCTGAAGATTGATAATACATTTTATTCATTACAAAATTTATACTACAATGGAAATAAATTATATTTTGTGAATGATCGCTAGATACTTATCGATGTTTTTTTATGTTTGTATAATCTATAAAAAAAAGGCAAGCACGTAAAATCCATGGAAATTACATGGAATGGCCCGGTATGCACAAATTTCGTATATACACGTATAACCACGTTTCGGGCATTGTTATTTAACACAGAAATGGCACAAATTTGACAGTCCGTGCTTATGCGTGTAGTTCCGTGCTAAAAACAAAAAACTCGTACCAAAAACGTGTTTGCGTATACGGAATTTGTCGCGTTCCCGTACCATGCTGCGTCATTTCGTACCAATATATTAAAAATTTTGATTCCTTTATCCAGGAAAAATTATAAAATACTGATACGATTATCCAATTCGATATAAAGAAAATCAATTTACACTAGCAACTTTACAAATCCACCGATTCTATGATGAAAACGGAAAATGGTATATTTATGGCGGGTCTAACACTAACGAAACCTCGGATTGTCGAGTAACATAAACGTTAATAATCTTCTAAATGTACATTATTCAGATCTTTCAGCAGAAACTTGAATTTTATAGAAGTCAAGCCAAATTAAACATAAAAGCCGATACAGCGACAGCAATAAACAATATGATTATATATATCAGTAGTCAAATAACACCTGATGATTTCATAGAAATGGATGAAGCATTGAAGAATCTTATATTTTGTCCAAAATCTTAATTAACAAAAATTTGCTAATTAATTACCTTATCTATTGAATGATTTTTAAAAAATCAGAATGGGCAAATATTAAGGTGGTAGTCATACTACTGTAAAACGGTAGGTTATTTTTAAAGTTCAAATCTAATTTCACTTCTTTAGTTTTTTCTTTTTAAATTGCATATTGATTAAAGTAAACGATACTTGTATTTGATATATGGCGGATATCCCGATTCATCTCAATCAACACTCAATGAACAATAACAACAACAACACTGTTGCGTTATTGAGCATTCAAAATTTTAATGAGCTCACTTGGTCATTGCCAGTTATCTCATATCAAATCGACTGATACCTTATTGGCAGACAGAAACTAGGGCTGATACTCGATCCTATTAAATCATAGGACCGAAGTGATTGAAGGTCCTATGTTTTACATAAGACCGGACCGTTAACAGCCCTAACAGAAATAATCTACGGTATGATTGTTGCTTATGGTGGAATATTAAAGAAAATAAAAAATTAAATTAAATTTATTAATATCGTGTAGGTAAATTCCCTCTGACTGATTCGGTATACAAAATACGTATGCCAACACCAATAACTATTCTTAATACTCGTAACATGCAAGGGATTCAAGTTATTGATGATAATACACAAATATCGATACTGGATCTGGAGAAAATAGTGAATCTGAAAAAGATAATGAATCCTGATTCAGAAAATATAATAACGAAACTGATAAAGAAACAAAAGCCAGAAAAATTGGCGCGATTATTGGAGGTATACAGTAATAGCCGTTTTAGATATAAACGAAGCTTTACAAAACAAATAACTAGTTTAGTCAGTTATTGAAAGTAACCCAGTGATACTGTTACACACACCCAAATCAAGAAACAGAGGGTTTCACGTATAAAATTTCATTCGTCAATTTCTTTCTAAAACAAGGTTTAGTTTAAACAATAAAATATAAAATAATGACCCCGGCTGATGACCAAATACGGCAAACAGATACGTACTTCGAAAAAATTTAATCAGTACACTCATGGTATGGTTTGGCGACTAATAATTCTAATACAAAAAAAATGATACAAAATCAATATCGATATAAAGAACAATGCAATAAATAAAAATGTTGCGAAAGAATTTTCTTCAGTACCATACACCAGAGTTGTCAAGTTTTGCTTCCAGTGGGCTTTTATGACAACTGGAAGCCTATTGGAAAGTTCAATTTGATATTAATTTTGCTTCCAATGACCCTTCCGAGTGTTTCCATTGACAACACACTGCCACAATCTAGGATGTTTTTCGGTCGTACGGTATTTGGCAAAATCCAGAAATGTGGCTTTGTGGTAATGATCGAGAGCGATTTTGCTAGTTAATTATCGTTATCGCTATCGTTATATACTTATAATTACACTTTACGTATGTCATAAGTTGATACGTATCGGTATGCATAACTAATCAATTTTTAAATCCAAATTTATATTAACATTAAAAAGTGAAATAAATTTCATCATTCAAAAATATAACTACGTAAAGTTTATTATATGAAATTAGCATAAAAAGAAAAAAAATTTTTAAAATTGGCTGACATTATTATCGTTATATCTATGCGAGCTGTAATTACCATAATAAAAATTATTATTATATTTATTAGAACTGTAATTACTATTATATCTGCTAGAGCCGTAATTACCATAACGAGAATTATTATTATTGTTATTGTTATTGTAGTTATTTCCGTTGAAATCTTGATCATCACCATGCCGACAATTCCTATCAAAATGGTATAGAGATCCACAATTCCCACATGCAAAGTTCGTATTCTTATAGACCGATTCGATTCCATTGGTGACTATCGAACCCTCCCACTCAACTTGATACTCTCGGTATATGTTCATTGCAGCTCGCGCGTCTTCGATAGAATTGTGATCGTTAGTTTGTATCGTTATGCCGAGAAGATCTTTTGCTAGTTGTTTCAGAGAGGGTGTGCCGCCGTTATGCGAGATCGACGTCTTGAAGCCTTTGAATAGCGAGGTATCACGTGTCAGGCCGCGTGGATGCATTATTTTTAGTATCTGTGTTTGGTGGTGTCGCATGTAAACGTAAATTCAGTTGAAGGGCGATAAATATTATAAGATAATAAACTACTACGTACTTTAAAATCGAAATATAAAGAATGTCCAATTACAATGTTATCGTCAATTATATCATTTACTTGTTGTCGCACCCAATTAAAAGACTTAGCTAAAGTAATTCGCCAAAAAATCGTAAATTAACTTTAAAAAAATTGACTACTTGAAGCTCTAAAAATAGTTACCATCTTTTAGAGAATCCTCTGTGATTCCACTAAACTTTGTACGATAATCGGTGACCGGTTGATTAGGTTTAACGTACGAATCGAATACAATATTGCCATGGAAATCAACCAAGCTCACACGAGCCAACAACGATTTTGCACCATTTGGACCGATTCCGACCATCTCACAGTCTATTGCGTAAAAATTAACATCGCGTCTTCTTTGGTATTGTTTGTAAGTTGATTTTAATTTAGTAAATTTAGAAACGTTGCATAAAAATCTTTGATGTTCATTAATCTCTTTTTTTTTACATTTCATCATTGTTCAGTATCGCGTCGTTGGGACTTGATGCTTTAGTTTTACCGTTGCTCTTTCCATCTACGAAATAACTTCCCGCCTAAATGTAAATAAAATTCAGTTTAAGATTTCAACGATATATGAAATATAAAAAAAGAATTACCGAAGCAAAGTAAAACTCTTCATAATTCGACATCGAAATTCTTTGGTTTTTATATACGGATAATAAAATCAAAAAATTTCTCAAGTACAGTATCTAGTGTTTATATATATATATTAACGAGATGTAAATCGACTCATTCAAAAGGATGTTCTTTTGATGCGTAACGATAAATTATATGATTGTTTCTTGATTTTTTGATATCGATATATCATTTATTTTCATTTGGAAAAATAAAAGTACAGTGAACGGAAAATTTTTTATACTTACTCATTTATCAACAGATGAACGGTAGTTCCCATGAATGAGAATTTGTGCATTTTAATATGAGCATTGTTACACTACATCGTTACAATAAGCATTTTGCGTGCGTATTATCATTATCGTTATCGTTATGCGCAACATTCAATAACGATAAAGAATATCGATATCTAGCATTATCGCTATTGTATCGTTAGTTATTTCGATCGTGATTGATCGTAGATGCGCGTCGAAATTTTCTTTTGAAAATATCTTTAAATCCGATAATATTTAAAAAAGTTTTCTCATCAAATAGCGATGTCGAATGAAACACATTGAGGTATCACTAATACTATCGGTATAACAATAACGATAACGATAATAATAAAGTTTATTTTTAACACTGTATATCGTGGGATTCTGACCTTTTAAAAGAGACTTTTTACGAAGAGCCATTTAACTAAAAATTATCCAAGAAAATGAAATCGAAGCTTAAACGTACATGACTTGGGAATACGTATATGTTAATTTACAATCGATATAACGGTACCATAACGGTACCATAACGATAAGCTGGATACGTTATCATCTGCTATATTTGACTTTCACTATGAATATAACTTCAAATTAATAGTTACAAAATCGAATCTTTGAAGTAGCGACCCGGTGTTAAACTGTTCAAAAAATTCAACAACTGGGGATAAAACTCTCGGTTAACCCGTTGGTACATGTATATTGAGTTAGATTAATAATATAATTAATTTCGATGCATAGAAAATAAAATGTTCACAATGAAACTGAATCATTAATTCGATGTATAGAAAATAAAAATGTCTAAAAATTGAATAATTAATTTTTCTATACAGTGGCTACAAAAAATTTTGCATCACAAAAGTTTTACGCAAAAAAATTCTAGCGCCCTCAGCATCAATTAAAAGCCCATAGTTCCTATACTCATTTTAAAGTTAATAACCTAGAGAATACATGTACCAGTAGGGCTGTTAAAAGTCTCATGTGAGTCGGTCTTTGAGTCGTCTTTTGCTGAGTTGCTTTTGAGTCTGAGTTTAG